ACAAATATATGTCAAGTATTTTTATGACTTTTTTTAAAGGGCTTTTTCTGCCATTCTTTACATTAACTTATCTCATAGCATTGACATACTCTACTTTACAATTTTGTAACCACCCTGTTGATCTCATTCTCTCACAGTAGCCTGCAATTGTTTTAATTGATAGTAAATTCATTATATTAATTTAATGTACTTTCACACCATTTTTAACTCCACAGGTTGTTCTCACCAGTGACGCTGATTACAGCCATTTAGCTTCATTAAAAGAAACCCAATCAGAAAATGTATTCCCTTGGTCTCACTGTGCAGAGTGGCAATTCTAATGGGGTGCTGCTCATTCTTTGTCACGTTTTAAAAGTCCATCATCCATTAGCTAATCCTTTGAAGGGTAGTGCCAATCCCAGCGGTCACTGGGACAGATAGAGACAAACAACCTTTCACATTTACAAGCAACTCGTAGGGTAAAGCCCAGAAGAAGCAGCCATGCTTACCCCCGCACAAATGATTTATTCTAACAGGGCTTCCTCTTCAGCTCTGCCGTTCACAGCTCCGGAAGGCGCTAACAAGGGAAGAGCTTGTCACCTCTAATTGAATAACTCCTGATTAAACTGGTTTCACATTGGCAGCCAACATATCACATCTTGTCTGACTTCTAATTGGCTGCTTCATCGATGCTCCAAGTGCTCTGGAGATACACCCACCACAGATGTCTACATTATGAGACAGCAGAGACCGTGGAGCAGAGCAGGCATGTTTACACTGATCAGACATATTGGCTTACTGAAGAGGACTAAATGACAGGAAATCAATTAAAGGTGATCAACAGGTTTCTATTGTCCGGGGTCAAAAAAGTGTCAGACAAGTGTAGCTTGAGATAGTGCATTGGTTAAAAGTGTCTGGATTATTTTTAGTGGCCAGGAGGTTGAGACTGCACTGGTTGTAAGAAGTCAAATTGTATAAAAGTTCTCACCTGATTTATTTCTGCAGTAAACATTTTCGGATTGAGTTCAAGGACTCAATCGCTAGTGTCAAGTCTACTTTAATACAGTGTGATGTTCAAGGTTATGCTTATTCTGTGTCTGTAGCTTTAAATGCTAATGAGCTGCTGCTGGCCACGCCCCTCTGTGAAGTGATTGGTTTAAACAGCACAATGGTGCTCTAGGAGAAGGTGATAAGGTTACCATGGTTGCTTATTGGCTAATGATTTCACAACCCAAAAAACATTGTGACCTCATAAAGTAGCCAAAATCTGATCAGCTCATCTTGAGACAGGTTTTTATATAAATGGATCAGGACAAAAATAGAGGGAATTTTTGTTCCTGAAACTTTCAGAATCTCCTAAAAATAAAGAAAAGAGGGGACACATTAATAAGAGACATGAAAAAGTAACGTGTGACCTTTAAGACTGTTTATCTTTATCCAAAATGATTAGCCCAGTTCATGTTAATTACTGATGCACCTTTATAAGCAGTGCTAGTGTTAAATAGTGAATAAGCGTGTTCTATGCCAGTGGCCAGGCCTGTAGACTGTGTATATAAAGGCCTCACTTCAGCTCTTTCCCAAATACAGTTATTTCTGGTCCCAAAAAAACAAAGATGCATGGCAAAAGCGACAATCCAAACTCAAGGCTTCAAAACGCTCTTCCAGAAACCAGTGAGTGACGTCGACTTCTCTTATGCACCCAATGGTGCACAAACACACTCAGCGTGTTTCAGTTATTAGTCTGATTAGACCCATGCTATGCTGGGAATTATGATAGCTTACCAAACGCCATAAATAAGAATGTTAATTTGAACCACAGCATGCAGCAGGTTTCATTGTAAAATGTCTGCTAAACCCACTATAGTATTTCTATTTGCTCAGCAACAAACAGCATAGACACAGTGAAAGACCTGCTGGTGAACATATTGGAGCATAGCTACTGTATATACCAAACTTAATTCCAGCTATGGCATATTATTATTTCCCTACAATGTCTCTTTTTATGATGTACAACTGGCCAGATAAAAGACTGTAAGCTGCTTAGAAGCCTCAAAAGAATGAGACAGCCGAGTCTACAGAATTAATTTGGCCGATGGAGAGAATCTCTGGTGAATAACCGCTCCTCTGAGAAATACTCTGAAACCACTTCTTCAAGTCCTTGGGAGGCAGAGTATTCTACAGTTTGTTTACTATTCCTGGATTCACGCACACACACCCTTGAGACCAACCCTAGTCATGATGCAGCTGAGCAAAGCGTTTTTTACACTCTCCCTCTCCCTAATGTAATTGTGTATGTCGGAAACGTTAACAGAAAGGCAGCGTGACCTGCCAGAATATGAGCCTATAGCTGTAATGGGATTACTAGTGTATGAAACATAATGATAGGCGATGAGAGTGAGACAAAGACAGAGTGGATTGGAGGGAAGGAGCAGGTGAGAGAGAGTGAGAAAAAGAGAGGGCAGCAGCGGAGGAGCAGAAGGAGAGGAAACAGCAGGTAAACAGTAATGTAATTGCCATTAGATCAATTTGAACGTGGTCAGAGATCACTGCTTGTGACAATAAATATTGATTTGATAAAATCAACGGGGCAGAAATATGGGCCAACATGAATACAGGCAGAGTAGATAAAAGCTCTTACAGCTGCATCTGCAACTGAGGCTGAAAAAGCTTTAGCTAGCAACTAGCTAGGGAACATGGTGGAGAATTGAACAGCTGAAGAATCAGATATTTCCCTCAGGAGGTCCTGGAGAGCTGGAATAATAAATGAAACATCTCTCCATAGCACTGAACGCCGGTGGTGTTCTTGTGTTAAATAACTTCATGGGATACTTTCAAAGGCAATATGTCTTTGTTGCGTTCACAGCTCGTTTCTGCTGCCCCCGAGTGGCCAAAAAAAGCAACTACATTAAACTTTGGCCAGTTACAGCTACGTTATTTTTAATACAGTGATCCAATCAACATTATACAAATCATAACGAAATGCATCCCTTGTGGAAAAAAAATGTGTGTGAAGGAGGAGAGCCAAATGGAATGAAAGAATATAAATTATTACGAGAGGAGAAATTGGCAGGGGAGAGATGTGAAGCGTTTCCCTGCATGGTATCGATATTTTTGAGTTTTCATTTTCAGACTTCACTTCAAGCCGAGTCCCACACATGTTCTGCTTGATTGCCCAGAAATTGAAAACGGTAAAAAAATCAAAAGGCATGAGACTGAATTTATACTATATTTCAAAATGCAATTACAAGGCTTTTAACCGTTTGTGTTGCCCAGACAGATTTACTCTGTGGAACCAAACGCAAATTAGAAAAAAAAATCAGTTTGGTCCAAATTTCTCCAGAGCCAGAGAGCAAAGCGTTCTCTGCTCCGTCTCTGAGAGAATTGACAGAGGGAGGTGGAGAGAAAACACTGAATAGACTGGAGAGGTCCCTGAGGAGCTCCCTCCCTTTACACGCCTGCTGTGGGAGAGCACAAATGCATCACAACAGGAGTGTGTATGTGTATGTGTAAGTATGTGTGTGTGTGTGTGTGTGTGTGTGTGTGTGTAAATGCTTCTTGGTTTCTGCAGGACAAACACAGGGATACATACACAAACACACTGGAGGATCATAAGTTAGCAAAAAAAGAGGCAAACTTTTGCTGTAAAAAATATTTTTTATTTATTTAACAAACTAATCAAATCAGGCATAAATATATTAACAGTGTGTCCTTGCCAAGCTTGAGATTTAAATTATTTCTGCAGCATTTACTTTTTATTTTCCCTTCAGAAAGCTGGAGTTCAGGCTCGGAGCTGCTCTGATGCAACCAAACCGAGCTCATTTTTCCATTGTTAGTATTTATCTGTATGTGCAGTACAGGGCAGAACTGTTCTAACCATTGTTACAGGCACAGGAGGAACAGCAACGGAAACAACAACTATGTACAGTATGTAACAATTGCAATGAAGTCAACAGGGGGAGAAACACAGAACCAGCCAGAGAGATTCCATGTGAAGTGCCCGACATATGTTAGAAGCACACTGATGACTCCTCTGCATCCCATTACCATGTAGCCGGTGCAGCCTACAATAAAAATGGACAGATCGAATCCCCTCAATTCATTGTTGGACCTGAAATTCAAGCTGAAATTGCTTCCTACTGAAATTGCCACAGTGCAAAACTGCTCATGCGTTGGAACGGCAGTAAAACATAGCTCCAGTCCGTTTCATTTGCATTGAATTATTGCGGGTGGCTTTTACTCACTTCATTTTGGCTCCACAAATTGATCTGAACTAACTGTTTACAAGGAGGGAGGCAAATAGCTGCAAGTGCAAATAGAAATGTCATATAGTTTAACAACACGGTACAAGAACCAGCGAGTCCTTTTTAGCTGTTGCACTTCAAAGTGAGGAGATGACACCCGAGGAAGATGAGATCAATAGAGACGAAAGAAAATGGTGTCGCTGTTAATCAAAAAAGGGGATCATTCTTTAGGTTTCCTCAATATTACTTTAGATGAAAGACGAAAAACAGCTTGTAAATTAGATGTAATCATCTCATAGCCAATCAGATGTGTCCGTCAATTCATGCTTCGGTAAAGTTGTTAGAGAAAAAAAGATTCCCTGGTTTAGACGTACGTTTTAGGTATATTAGAGGAATGGTTAAAGATTTTTGGAAACCTAATATTTGATTTACATTGGAAAAATCTAGACTACTCTCATGTCTGTACGCTTAACATTAGCCAGATGCCAAATAGCTTAGCTTAGCATAAAGACTGGAAGCTAAACCCCAACAGCAAGCAACATTTTAATCAACAAAAGCAACTTGGTATAGTTGCTTTTAGTGCCATTATTTCCAAAACATGTCATTTTTACATTGCTTGCTACATATAATGCGTCAATAAATTACAGTAGCTTAACGGGCTAGTGGTTTCACCCTGATTCCAGTCTTTATGCTAAGCTAAATCCCTGCTAGCTAGCTAGCTTTATATTTAGCATGCAGAGAGCTTTTCATCCAAATCTTTAATGAAAAGCAAATGTGCTCATCTTAAAAAAAAAAAAAAAATGTGTATTTGCTGTAGATAATCAGACATCTAATTGCTAATTGAGTCATGCAAAACTATGACACTTCCTTCTCACAATTGACTCATTGAGATAATACAGACGTCAGTGGCAGGTGTGAAGAGGCCCAGGAATAAAGACACAGGAAGTTGTGTTTAGCAGCAGGAAGAGGAAGTGTCTGTGAACATATGGATGTAGAAACACACGAGTTCTTAGCAAGGAACATCAGCCTGAAGAATTCAACCTGAGAGATTAATACTGCTACCAAATAACATGAAATCAAGTCTGCCTTAATTAAAGATGAATATATAACTCATCTCCCTTTCTAGATGTTTTTCATCCATCCATCTTCCCTTTGTGCTCGTCTCCATTCATCCATCCGTTGTTTTATTCTCGTCATCACGCCTTCCTCTTCCTCCCTGCTGAGAGGTAGAGGAGCTGCAGCTTCATCCTCATCTGCAGACTCACGGTCTAGACACGAGTCAGAACACAAGGATTTAAATGACTGAACAAATGTTTGTAAATAGTTCCATTCGGTTTCAAAAGGAGTAGAAACTTACAGGAGGCAGTCTGGTCATCTTCGTCATCATCACACTGTGGTCACAGTCGCTGTAGACGTTGTTATCCTGACCGGGGTCGCTCGCCAACATGTACAGCTCTCCAGCGTGGACGTCTGAGACATTCACCTGGGTGGAGAGACGGCGGGGGGGTAAGACAAATATAATCTGTTAGGCTTTGTGTCCACCTAGCTTGTTGTTTTGTTGTGCTACAACCAGTTCATTAACTCTGTTGCTTATGACGTTTATATTTTTCTTCATATATCCTTTAAAATGCTCCCATTAACTGGTACTATCTAATTGAAGTAATTTTTGGTGCTTATTATTTTCTTGGTCATCTCAACCTGTAAAAAAATAAATGAGAAGTTATTAAAAAAGACCATTTTTCTCAGACGACTGAGCCGTAATAATCTGCTTATGGACATAAAAGTACAACCACTCACCGACAGCAAAAGTAGTGTCTGCCCGGCTAATCTGCTCCAACAAATCTGCCTTTTTAATCTGTGTTCTGATAGTTTCCGCCAAAACAGGCTTTTGTCATCAAATATTTTTGGAAAAGTTGAACATTTTAAACCTGTAGCGCACAAAGCAGACGCACAAAAATGGTGGTGTGCTGAGGGTTTAAAATGTTCAACTCTTATTCACAAGGAGGCTGCATTTGATAGAACTCATTGTTCTCATTGGGAAACATTTGAAAACAATTCTGGCTCTGAACTACAGTCCTTCCGGTTGTGGGAAACGTCTCCAGTTTATTGTGCCTGACAAGATGGATAGATCCGTCACCCAAACAACTCCCCAGCCTGAACCTGAAACGTTGACACAGAGAGGATAGAGCCATTGGTGAGAGGCAAGCCTCATGCTGGGCAGGACACCCACCTGGAACGTGTTGGGGTTGAAGCCCAACCACAGAGTGTATCTGTAGTCCCAGGTGCGCAGAGAGTAGCCCATGATCTTTATGTCTTTGAGGTCAGGGAGGTCAGAGTTCTCCTAAAAGAACAAGGAAACATAAAAGCATTTAAAAATGCAACAGAAAATTTGGCGAGGGCTGTACAGGCTTTTTTTAAGCTTCATTCAAATCGTTGACATTCAAATCTCACATTTATTTTGTTTACACCCAGTATTTATGCAGAGTAACAGAAGATTAGGCCACACTAATATTATTAGCATTAAACCATTTGTAGATTCAGATTTCTGTGGTGGCTGCATAGGATTTATTTTCATTTATTGTCTCGATACAAATGTCCTTTGTTTTTTTTCCTCTTTTTCTTTTTTTACATACAGGCAAAAATATGCGGGGGTTTTTTTACATTAAGAAAAAAATATTTATAAATAAAAACAATGTTCAAAAAGGACCCAAAAGTAATTAAAATAATGAATTGAAATGAAAGATTCATACGAAAAATATGGATACAAAATTAAAAAAAGAACCAAAAAAAAGGATTCACACCTTTTGGAAAAAATATTCTTTTTCATTCCATATTTATTGATGTTGAGCCTCTCACAGATAATTCTATTAAAGGTCCCATGACATGGCCATTTCTACTGATCATAATTCCATTGTTGAGGTATACTAAAATAGATTTATATTGTTCAATGTTCCAAACTCACATTGGTTTCTCATACAGCATCTCTGTATTCACTCCGTCCTAAACGGCTTGTTGGAGCTCCTGCCACCCCCTCCCTGTGAGCCCAGTGTGCTCTGATTGGTCGGGACGTTGCGAAGCTCGCTGCTCAGTGAGCTGGCTGTAATGGTGCGTTTCCGGGTCGGCGATACAGCGAGACAGCGCGAAACTCATCCTGAGTACACAAACACTCACAGCCGAAGTAAAAACAATAAGTGTGGCTTGATATTGAGTAAGAAAAACGTTTCTAACGCTGTGAGAATGGGTCTGCAGAGAGCATTTCTCCACCATCCCAACTCGTCTATTACCAGCGTTCAGGGAGCTCTATGCAAGTCAATAGGGACTCCCTGTTAGTTAGCCAAGGGATCCTGGTGTGTAAGGTGCTCCGCTGATTGGTCCATTTTGGTTCCGGGAACCGCATGACGTCATGCGGTTCCCGGAAGAAACAAATGGAAAAAGAGAAATCTCCAACCGGGCGTTCTGGGATCAGGTCTTTTCTGTGTTAGAGTTTTACTCGCTACATGGGGATGGGTAATAACCGGAAAAGCATGACATGGGACCTTTAAATATAGAATTTAGTTTGATGATATTTAAAAACATTTTTTTAGGACATTTGAAGTCTCATTAAAAAAACCTCAATAAAAAATACTTTGGGTACGGCCCTTCTTTCTGCAGTGCTCATTTATAGCTTTTGCTAACTCATCCTGCGCCCCATGGCTGAGCTGCTGTGCGGCTGCCAGGCGGCTCCGTACAGAGTTGAACCTGCAGCAGGTGCAGCTCTCTCCTCTGGACCCGTTCATCCAGAGAACCTGCTGGCGGCTCCGTACGAGCGACAGCACAATGCAGCGGGTCAGAGAGCCAAACCACGCTCGTTCAACACAGCTCTCATGACCTTCACTCATTTTAAATGCATCTACAAAATCCTTTCATTAAAAAGTAACCGTGTGACATTCATTTACAGAACGCACCTGCTTTCTGAACGATGGAAAATAATAATGATTTAACCTTTATACGGCTCGTGAAGGCTATTTAAATTTGCTTTTCTAAACACTCCAGTGTGGTACCTGCGGGGTGTCGGCGGGTCGGGGGTACTGGCTGAACGACACCGCCTCCTCGTTCTCTCCTCTCTCTGGGCGTCGGAAGGTGTAGGCCAGGTTGTCTCCTTCTGTACACAACTCCTCCTGAAAGCAAGAAAAACAGACCCAAGAGGAGAGGGAATGAAAGACAGAGGCCGTTAGATCACTTTCACATCAGGCGTGTTTTACTTCTCTACATTCAATATGTTTGGCAGTGTTAATACAAGGCCATTGAACCATCTGTAGAAAGGTACCTGAAGGTCTGTTAGTGAAATGTGAACAGGAAATGACACTGATTCAAATAGACAACAAAAAAGGTTGATAACAGAAAAACAAGCTCCGTCAAGGTTACAAAGAATAAATTACATAGAGCTTTATTTTTGAAACATTTTTTAAGAATATTTAAAAGGTGAACTTTCCCCTTAAAATGACTCATACAACTTGTCAAATCATCCAATGCTCACTACTTCCCAAACACATGCATTCTCACTAAGTCTTTCCATTCAAAACACTTTGCACTGAATCATGTCTGGGCAAGGACTTTAGACTTTTCTCCAGGTTGGATTCTTTGTTTAGGGTTGAGGCATCCAAGATATCGTCAAGAGGGAAACTCCGTTCCTTCTGTTATTATACACATTACAACACTCACATATGCACAGGGCCTATACACCTAGTATACAGGTGTATACACATACAAACATGTGTTACGTGTCAGTGTGTAACTGACTTGTGCATTCTGTTATGGAGAGGTGTCAGAGCAAACAGGCGGCCGGTGTTCGGGTGCCAGGGAGAAGTTGGGGGTTTGGGGGTTTGGCGCTATGCTCAAGGACACCTCGGCAGTGCCCAAGATGAGCCTCAGCAATGCCTCTTCCCGTCCGACCCCTTAACCTATCACATAATATGTGATGAGTTCTAGTTAATAGTGATGTCACTATGTTATGGAAGTTTCAGGCAGGGGGGGGGGGGGGTAATTTGGGGATTTTAAAAATACTAAACTAAATAAACACATCCCTTCCTTTCCATCGCTCCATACCTGGAAGGAAACATCAGGACAGGGTTCCGGAGCTCTGAGGCCGGCCAGGTAGGAGACGGTCGGGAAAATATCCACCAGCTCCACCATGTTCTTAATCACTTTGTCATCTGGAAGAGAGAGAGGTCAGCGAATTAGTGAATGTCTTAAAAAGCACTGACGCAAAATGAAAGTAAAGATATGGTCAAAGATTCACCAGGCGCCCTGCTCTTAAGTTTCATCATCAGTGCATTTGCACTTGAAGCAGAAACTGTCCGGGGGAAATATCAAAGTGGATCCCTGTCGAAACACTTTAGGGAGAGCTCTAAGTGTATCAAAGACTTCATTTAAGTCAAGTCGGCATATTAATACAAGTTTTTTAAAGGAACTAAGACCAAATATATAAAGAAATATTAGTCTTACTGTTAAAGCTGTGCTTTGATTGGTTGAATGCGTCAATATAAGGAAAGGTAGACTCTCCACGCCAGTTACGGTGTGAGGTGACCCCAGGAACGTAGAACATAAGGGGGACTCGCGTCGCCACGTCAAAATTGGAATATTTGGCCCATTCACCGTGTTCTCCCAACGACCAACCTGCAACAAAAGACAAAAAGAGAGATCATGAAAGGTGTTAAAAAGACTGCTAATCTACAACATAAAATCACATTGTTAGATTCCCAGTCATCTAATATTTGAAAATGATGGCATTTCATTGAGTTTTACTGCGTATAAATCAAGCGGTCATGGAAAAGATTCCCTCCAGCATCCTCCACTGAAGGAGACATTAAAAGAAATTAAGTTTCCAAGTCACAAAGTCTGAAAAAAAGAAGAGGTAAGGCAATAAAGAGCTGGGTTTTTAGAGTACAGCCAAAGGAAGTAAAACACAATGTGCTGTTACAACATTGCCATCTGGTGGTGGCACAGTCAACTGCCACACATCTGCAATATTTACTTGGATTAGATTTAATTTATTGATCCCAAATTGGATCGTTGTTTTTTCGCACCAGCATGTCTTCAAGGCATTGCACGTTAATTTAAAATACAATAAAATAGGAATTAAAAAAAGCAAAAACAGTAAATATTTATGTAGGAGCCAATATACTTATTTAGCCTAACTTTATTATTTATATTATTATCATCATTATTTGTACATCGTTTGTATTTTATTATGACACAGAGGGTGAGCTGGCTTGTTTATTGTTTGTGTATTTTCTTTGTTAAAAATCGTAAAACTTTAACTTCAGGACAGAATTTTATTTTGGAAGGCATCACAGCAAGAGCCAAGTTTAGCCTCTTAGCTATTTACATTTTCAGGAGTATAGTCGCTAATATGGATCTTTCACCAGTAAAAAGATTATCTATAAACCACAGAATATAACATCCTACTGAATCAATATGTATACAAATAGGAAACTTTATACAAAGTCTTTTAAAATACACATTTAAATACAATGAGGTTGTGTTTAAATACATTATGTACAAATTGTTTAAAGTGAACCTATCATGCTATATTTGAACAATATATTGTAGGGCCATACCTATACAAAACATGTCTTTTGAAAAAAAAACTTCGCAAACAGATCCTGCATTTTAGCCATGCCTCATTTCGCTCTATTTGCTCTTTTCAGCCCTGTTTTTGCAAGGGCTGATTCTGTGACGTAGCTTTAGTGCAAATGAGCTGCAGCTGACCACGCCCCGCTGCAGGAGAGGGGAGGAGGAGGGAGAGAAAAAGAGATCTCCGTCCTCCGTGTTTTATTCTTATATGATTATATAGAGTCATTATTCATTTGTTTTAAAGCTCAATAAATAACAAAGAAGACCTCTGACCGGCACTTTTCTAATTTTGTCCGTAAGATTTAAACTTTAATGGACATGTTGACCGGCGAAAAAAAATCTAACTGAAACTCTGCCGGACGGTCCCCTCGTTCCTTGGAAGAGGCGGAGACGTGGGTGTTTGTCATCTGCTGGTGGACTACCAGAGATAATTACAGTGCTTGCCTCGAAGGGGAGGGATTGCATTGAATTACAGGAGCAAACGCTTGCCTCGGGGAGGGAGAAAAAGAGCCACAGCGGAGAATAAAAAGAAGGGCAACCACGGCGACCATGCAAGGGAAGTCTTCTTCGCTGCTTTTGTGGCAGACTACAGCGCCACTTACAGGTCTGGCATATGTACTACAGCGTCTCCAGCGCTTTCGAGCGGCAATAGCCGGCCGTGGCCCAACTCCACATTCCCCTGATAGGTGGAGAGTTGGCCATATAGGCGGAGCTCCTCGTTCCTGACGTCAGAACAATTTCAAATCTGGATCAGTCTGTATCAGATCCGTGGCAGCCCCGTTTTTAGAGATTTGGGTATGGAGGAAAATAGAGAGGGTTGTGTTTTCTGGTGAGTTCCCTGGAACACCGGGGACACATATTCATGTATAAAAGACGTACAAAAGTGCATTTTGCATGATAGGTCCCCTTTAAGGTATTAAAAAGGGGAAAACAGAATGAAATCTGGTTAATAAAGGAAACTAAAGAATCTATAGCGCTTTGAGTTCTCTGCTAGCCAACTGTAAAACAATCTTCCTAAAAACTGTGCAATGATAACTGCCATTAGAACTTTTTATTTTAAAGAAAAGAACAAAAAAACATGTCAGTATTTTGGCCAGAAATCTAATTAAAAAGGTTCTCACCGTGATCCGAGGTGAACACCACCACCGTGCTGTCGGACAAACGCAGCTCATCGAGGGTGCTGAGCAGCCGCCCGACCTGAGCGTCCATGTACGACACGGCGGCGTAATAGTGCTGCCGGATACGCAGCTGGAACATTTTGGACTTTTAATATCAAGATCATTTAATAACATCCACATTTGGAGAACAATGATTCCAGTGTTTACACAGATCTGTTTTACTGACTTGGATACAAATCAGACGACATTATATGGACAGATTATGCATCGATATAGGTCATTTAAAGAGGGTTCACTTGATTTCATTTCTTTACCGAGGAAAAATGGTCTCAAAGGGTTCAAACCTGGAAGTCTTTAGGGATGGGTCCATAGGGGAAGCTAATGTTGAGCTTCTGGACATCGTCCCTCCTCCTCACATCTGTCCAGGGGTTGTAGGCAACAGGTGGAAGGAGTTTAGGGACATCTGGGTCAGGGGCCACAGTGATTTCCTCAATGGGATACAGACTCAGGTACTCCTGTAATACATAAGCAACAGAAAGGTAAATAAAGCCAGGAACAGACAGCTGGATTTAAATAATGATAGCCCTCTTGTGTAAGAGATATCAGTCATTTGTGTTTTATGAATTGCTAAAACTTTATTTTATTTGCCGCTTTGTAGTAAATGGAGATATTGACATTATTTTAGTTCAGTAGAGTAGTCGGGTATGCTTCTTTGCAACGGGTAATTTGATATTTATTGGAGGCAGGTGGAAGAGTTTTTGGGCATCAGTAAGACATTTATTTATTTTTAAACATTGAAAGAGAGGCCATTGTTATTTGTAATGTTAACTAGAACTAATTATTAGCTGAAAATTGGACTTTATCCTGTGTAACCTTCACTTGTCTGTGCCAGTTTGATTTTGAGATCATTTTTGGATTCGTTTATTTTTTGTTGTTGTTTATTTTTTAGGCCCTGGTGTGTTTAGGAAAAATATCCGCTACACATGGTTTCTGCTTCCATGGAATTTTCCAAGCTAAATGACAATGCAAAAAAAACGAAACTGCGTCCCATGTTTGGAAAATATGGATGTTCCAAGATGTTTTTAGCTTCACTGACTTTCATCTTTGTAGAAACCGCAGCTTTTGCATTAGTTTTCACTCTGACTGAGATTGCTGTGCGTTTCCAGACAATACGGAGTGAATCACATGGCACATAGATCACATGCTGACGGAAAGCTGGCTCGACCTTTTCCTCTTTCCATCTCTCAACTTACACTTTGTGAGAAACCTCTTTGACATGCTGACATTCGTCTCTGTTCAGTCTGTCTCCGCCCTCATTCAACTTCCACTTCATCATGCTCTGCTCTTCCTTCACGCCAAATTGCATCTCACTTCACTTACATTGTGTTTCTATAGTGTTCTTTTTCAGAGGTTCCATTTCTCATACTGCCTGTGCTGCAGCATCTCTTTTCACACTCTGTCTGAAACCAGAGACCAGTCTGCTCTGATTGGTTAGCTCTCCGGCTCTGTTGTGATTGGTCAACCGCTTAAAGATGTCCCGCCCCCTCGTCTATCACGTACAATGTGTTGGAGTCCTAACCAATAGCGGCGCAATGTTACATAGTGATTTTACTATGTTACAGAAGTAAAGAGTAAAAAAGTAAGAGTCTAATGGAGCCGTTTCAATTTTGGGGGGGGGAGTTTAGCCTTTGCAGAACATTTACATGCACAAAACCCTATATGTAACACTCGAGGAAAGGGAAAACCTTTTATTGTGTGTTCCTTTTAAACCCAGGCTAGCACAGTGTATTTATGGAACTTATATACTGGTCTCCACATGCTCTCTCCTCCATGTAAGCAAGCACCATCATTCATTCCCAGACTTTGCCATCTTGTGCTCAGACGCCGGTCTTGTGAGAGTCATGGTTCTACCAACATAATTTTGTCCACAACAACCCTGTGAGGCAACCCTGCGTCTCGCAGCAGGAAAATGACCTTCACTTTTCCACTCAACAAGTACCTATTGTGGCTTAGTGGTTAGTGAATTCTATCCCTCATTCCAGTGAATCTCCGTATTCATAGAGGAGGGTTGCAGAGATTCCACCAGAAGAATAGTTGCATGCAGAACTATTCTGTGTATATGTGTATTTGCAAACTATGTTAACAGGTTATTGTCTTTTATTGTGTAGTTTGTAGGACTTTTCATCTTTTGTTGAACTGCAAAACAGAGTCCAAAACAAATCTCCTTAGGGGAACAATACATTTAATTGTTTTGTATATAAAAAAAAAAAATGTCAACAGAAGTGTCTCTTTCCTATTAACTATTACCTACAAGAATCCAGAACTAGGAACCACCAAACGACACCCACTGACAAGGGAAGCTAGGCCTCTGTTCCATCATGGGCTGTTATTGCAAATGATCACATGCTGTAGCCGTACACATCTACAGCATGTGATCATCTGACAGGAGAATGATTCTCCATGCACTGCTCTTACACTGCACTCCAATGAGCCGTGTAATGAACATGCACACAATGAAGCCACTATGATTCAAATGTGCATTTCAGATTGGGATGATAAAGCAGCATTTTCCATGCCGATTCAAATCACAACATTTGCGATTAAACTATTATTTAGAGGAGAGAAACTCAATATTAACATACACAAAAACGTATACAACACACTATAAGAAAGAGAAAACAGCAAACACAATAGGGCCTCTTTAGCCATTACTGATGTTCCATCTCTATCAGTGAAAAGAGGGTCTTACAGAAGTTAACCTTAAGTCATGTACCTGTGGTATCCTAAAGGGGATGTGTGGTTTGTGAAAGCCCACAGCCAAGAAGAAAGGGTTGTCATCGCTGGCCCGACTCTTCAGAAGCCGCACGGCCTCGTCCGTGCTCTCCATGTCGGGGAGGGTTCCCCCGGGCTGATGCGTCACGTTCACTGCACACAGTAGGTTGGCATGGAGTTTCCCATCCTCTCCTTTACACATCTGTACACAAGGTTTACAAATCAATTAAAAAGTGCTGTTTGTGAACAGTTCCTGCTAAGAGGTATTTTCAAGCTTCAGTTTCTGCTGTCTGGTCTGGTAAACTAATCCCACATTTATAATAATAAACACATTTAATTGATAGTGCTTTTTTTTTTTTTTTTTAAAGAGAAGGCAATCAAATGCAATTGACATAAAAGTAAAACACAATAAATATAAACAATACACAATAACAATTACACATTAAACGCAGTTCTGAAGTGGTGAGTTTTTATTTGTGATTAGAATAAAGACAGATTGGTTGTGTTTGTGGAGGGAGTTCCAGAGGGAGGGGGGCAGCTATGGAAAAGGCTCTGTTCCGGCAGGTGGTGAGAAAAGAGGACGGCATCGGAGGAGCGGGGGTCTTAAACATGTCATCCTTAGTGATTGTCATAGAATGTTAAATGCTTGTTTTCTTATATCTTAATATTTGTCCTTTTGGATTTTGTAAATGGAGCTGCTGTGATCCAAGAAAAATGTCAGACTTGATCTGAGTTGGTTTGGAGACTAGCAGCAGAGTTCTGAATAAACTGGAGTTAATTGAGGAGTTTGAATAGAGTGTGCCACAGAGGATCTGTTGCAGTGGTCGCTTCTGGATGTGATATTGGCATGTCATTAGGGGTGGGTATCGTTGGAGCCTCGCTGCGGGGCAACTGTGGACCTCTGTCGCCTGTCAGCGCAACTTACATGATGCCGTTATTAAGGGCGGTGCCGGCCGTCAGCGTACCGAGCCGGCCGTCAACGGCCCGCTGACGACCGGCCGTTCTGTGATTCTCCAGGCCCGCCCTGTATTCCACCGGGTCGCCGCGGTGCGGACGGACCCGCTGGAATACAGGGTCTACCGCGCAGAACCGAAAGTGTATTTTGTATGGGTACCCGGTACCGGGCATTTTCTTATCGGTTCTCATCTGGAACCGAGTTTCGGTTGCCAACCCTACATGTCATATTCAAAGGCTTTATTGTCATATGCACAATAGTTGGCAAGACTACTTAACGCCTGAGCTTGCACTATTTTTATTGTTGTTATTTAATTTTTTTATGACTTGTAATTGCATTGTGAGGAACCTGTGACCCAAGTTTTTCATTAATTACACAACAGCTATGTATATTATATGACATTAAACCTTTGAATCTTCGTAATTAATACACAGCAAATACATTCTAAAATGTTGGAGAAAACCTGTTCTTTGTTGTTTTTTGGGGCACCCCAAAATATTTTCCAACTGGGTAGACGTGATAAGTGGTGGCAAAGATCTTCAGAAAGGCTGTGAATTTTCAAATGTAACCATCCCGCAAAATATTGTTAATTGCTAATATTAAGTAATATTATTACACTTTTTCTTAATTAATCAGTAATGTTTTGTATTTTATAGCAATAACAGCGAACTTCATCAGTTTGATTCAGATTTTTCAGTTCCATCGTCATGGTAACGAGATAAAAGCAATTTGGAATTCTATGCTTTTGAACACTTGGAATGTTTTGGCTTTGAAGTTCAATGATGTCATCTGCTGGGTCACAAGAAGTGCCTATAGTGAGTGAGTTTAAGGGTTAAGTTAATTCCAAATCCAGTCAGGAAGGAGATAGACCGACTTCAATTCGACAGTGTTTTGCGAGTTGCAGTGTTTTTCATTTTACAGTAAAAATGCCTGTCACAATATCAGATGACGAGCTGGTGCCTGCAACATTTCCGGCAGTAAAATACAACATACTCTCCAGCCAGTCTGCACGCTATATCCCATTGAAATATATTGGAGAAGGCTGTTTTGGAAAAGTGGCCAAATGTGTAAATCTAAACACATCAGAGACAATGGCCATCAAAATCCTTAAAAAGAGCAGAGCCCTCATTAGAGAAGTGGCAATGCTCAACGAAATCCGGGCACTTGACCCAGAACAGAAGAATCTAGTAAGGTTCATTGAAAACTTCATGTTTGAAGACAAGTCTTGCCTTGCCTTTGAAATGCTAGATAGGAGCCTTTGGGATCTTATAAAGGAGAGAAAAGGAAAGCCATTTTCCCTGAATGAAATCCGCCCTGTCGCTCAGCAGCTACTTGTAGCTTTTGAGGCCCTGAGGGGAATTGGTATAATTCACACTGACCTGAAATCAGACAACATCATGCTTATCGATCATCAGAATCAGCCCTTCAAGGTTAAATTAATAGATTTCGGTTTGGCCATGCCAGCCTCAGAGACAACATTAGGAATGTTGATGCAGCCTGTGCCTTTCAGAGCTCCAGAGGTGAACTTGGGCCTCCCCATTTCTGCAGCCGTTGACATGTGGGGACTGGGATGCGTTCTAGGGGAAATGTATTTTCAAAACTGGCTCTTCCCTGGAGGCTCAACTTACAACACAATCAAAGCTCTTTGCCATCTAGTTGGTCAGCCAGGAGACCATCTCCTTAATAATGCGATGTACACCAGAAAGTATTTTAACGGGGTACAGGGCAAAAATGGTCCGACATGGAGGCTGAAAAGGCCAGAAGAGTACAGCCCCACAACTGGTGAATGTGTCAATACTTCAGACAATTTTTTTGATTCTTTTGAAAATCTGAAGGATGCAGTAGACGTTTTCTCATTCGGAGATGACGCTGTTGCATATAACGACAGGAAGTCATTTGCAGACCTTTTAGATAGGCTGCTCAATCCAGATGCTGGGTCAAGAATCACCCCTGAAGAAGCGCTAAGGCACCCCTTCATCACTATGGTAAACCTCGAGGAGAAAAAGGCCTTCAACCCTCATGCAGTGAATGCCTTCGAGTTGATGGCTGTCTGCACCCTGGCTGACACAAGTGAATATCCTCTCAGGGACCCTGAAACTCCAGACACAGCTTGCAGGACGAGCAGGGCTTTAAGTGCTGTTGATTTCAACCCGGAGTGTTTCATTTCTGATACACAACCTACAGCATCTATTCTTCCACAACGCAAGATTAGCCCTCCGAGAAAGCCATCTGGGACTGCACCATATATCAATTTAAATCCTGAGTGTATTATTGATGACACACACCACACAGACCAAAGCTATGTTCGTAAGATGACACCTCACTTTCAGAGAGACCCACCTAGGGCTGTTGGTGATTTCAGGCCATGTGTTGAGCGTTTTAGTTCCGACAGAAAATCTCCAGGAACTATATTCATTTTTCCACAACGACCTCGTGAGAGTGGCTTTCTGAGAAAGCCAGTGCCACCCAGGCCTTTTGGTGTTGTCAATCCAGATCATGACGGTTTTAATAACACAAACCCTACAGAAACCTGGTTTATGCCACCACCACCACCACCACCACTACTACCTTTGGAGGTTGGCTTCCTGAGATAGTCATCCAGGACTTCCAGTGTTGTCAATCCAAATCATGAGGGTTTATTAACAACACAAACTCTACAGAGATCTGGTTCATTCCACCACCATCACCAACACCACTACCTTGCGATATTGGCTTACTGAGAGAGCCATCAAGGACTTCTGGTGTTGACAATCCCAATCATGAGGGTTTTCATCACAACACAAACTCTTCAGAAACTATGTTCATTCTACCTCCACCACCTCACGAGATTGGCCTACCGAGAGACCCGCTGGGTAGTTTCTAAACCACATGAGAAATAGTCAACCACTACCTTCCATTCTGATGGACCTCTACCATGAACTGGCTATAGGAGAAAAAAAACACACTGCAAGCTCCACCGATGACAATTCAGAAACAGTTACCAACAATGATGAAGATGGATGATGAAGGCTTTTGACTCCTGAGATATGTGAAAGACCAAATTCCTCAGCGAGCGACAGATGAAGTGAATTCCCTTTTCCGACATCCAAAGAGATAGTTGCAATTTAAATTATTCAACCCCCATTGCACATTAGGTTTATTGGCACAATATACAATTTCTCAGTTGTTTGCAATCATGATAAGTGCCATTCGAATTCTCTAGATGATAGATGATAAAGGAGGTTTCAAACTTCCTTTACAACCTCCTTTAGCTTAGGAACCACTGGACCTCCCTTTACGAAAGGAGAGGAGAAAATGCTGCCCCACAATGCCTTGCGGCCGCAGCATTTGCCATCACACAACATTCGGCCGTTCACGGAAATAACCGATTATGACCGAGAAATGATATCATGAAAGTTACGGTGCTTATTAAGCATTTTAAAACGGTAACTTGCCAAAGTGCTTTGTTTTGAATGTTCATCAGTATTATAATCAAAGAGAAATATGAACGTTAGTTTTTACTGAAATTATCAAATAAAGTCAACATTTCACAGTCTTTACTGAGGTGTGTGGGGTTTGTTAAACTTTTATTTTTCATTTCAAACCTTTATTTATCCAGGTGTATCCCATTGAGATCATTGATCTCTTTTTCAAGGGAGACCTGCTCACGGACGTGTACACCTATCAATACAATTTCAACATTTCGGGGACATTAGCTGAGCGACATACCACCAGGAGAAAAGCAACAAGACGAAATACAAAGTACAC